TTGGAGTTATGGGGTGAAAATGAAGAACAGTCTTTGGAGATGAAAGAAGGGTTGAAAGTGTGCTTAAATGAAAGGGAGAGTGGAGTTGAGGAGGCGTTGGCGATAACTAACAATTCCCTCCCTATTTTGGATAATTCTGTTTTGCAGGTTATCGAAAATTTAATTTCAAAAATTAATTCAATTGGAATCCCTTACAAGTCAAGCATCGAGCATCAATTGGTTGATAAAATTCAGCAGTAACATTTTGACTTGGAGATATCTTATTTATCGGAAATTGACTTTGTGATTCCCAAGGAGACAAAGGAGTTTTAAAGGCATTGGTCAAAGTTCATATGTAGAGAGTTGAAGAAGAAGATGAACTGAGGGGCAACATTGGAACATCGACAGTGACATTGTTTCAAGTGCGTGGGCAAAGTAAAGCAAGGAGAATGTATGGATATTCATCAGATGGAGTTACCTTAGAGCATTCCAAACGTGCAAGATCAAGCAGTCAAAGCAAGCACACTTTGATCCAAGTGAAGATATTTGGGTTTACAATTGAAGGCGACGAGTTCGAGTTCAAAGGAGGTCCAAATTACATCCGAGAGGTGCTGAGCCATTTCATGTTCTTGCTATGATCGGAGATAAAGGCTACAATTTGGATGATCAAGGTTCAGATTCGAGGTCGGATCCTTTTGAAGAGAGAGAGAATGATGTGATCCGCATAAGGCAGTTTCGGGACCGAATTTTCAAAAATTTCGCAAGTTTCCTATTGTGATTAGAAATCTAATCTTTTGCTATATTTAAGTTATTTTTGATTTTTTTTCCAATTTTAATTTGATTCTCGGATTTTAGCATAAATAGGGATTATATTTTCCATTGTATTTAGAACTTTTGACATGATGAATTAAAATAGAGAATTTTCTCTCCGAAAGCTTTGATTCAATTCTTATTCTGGATGAAACGAAATCAAACTTATCAAAATTAATAGTTTTGTGGCGTTCAAACTTGGATTTTGATTCTCTAATTCTTTGCAATCAAAAGGTTGGCATATCTATATGATTGTAATTGTTGTTTGATTAGCGCTATTGGGTTAGATCTACAAAATTAGGTGTTATTCAATTAATTTGCGTAATCAAGAGGTCCGCACATCGTCGGTGATTCGAGTTACTTAGTTCCAAGTTCGTTGAGTTTAATCCAAAACCTTGGTTTTGCTTTCTTGGGGACGATTTCAATCTTGATTGTGGGTTTGGTAGCGATTGACTACACATGTTCACATCATTTTTCCTAATAAGGTTTTAATGAGGCATATTCTTTGTACAATGATGTTTTTAACCTATAAGGCATTTATCCTCAAAAGATATACTCTTATATGTATGAGACTTTTGAAGAGATCAATAAGAGCTGTTTTCTAAATCATCATATTAATACAGTTATCAAAGGTTGATAAAATATCTCTTCTGAAGACGATGTTATTTGAAAACTATGTAAAACAATATGAGACATACGTTACCAGAAATTGTAATTTTGAAAACATTGATATACAAGATATGAATCGCTTGATATAAGAATTGAAATCAGGTGGAGTGGCTTTACTTTTCCCTCAATTAAGTTTTGTCCTACTGGATTTTCTTGACAAGATTTTAACAAGGCATCATTTTATTATTCCAAATTATTAGTACTTTTTTTATTTGTTGGCATCTCTGTCCTATCGAATTTTTTACCAAACAAGGTTTCAATGAGATATTTATTGTACAAATAATCATCAAAGTGGAAGTGTTAAAATAATGAAATAATTATTGATAATTATTTAATATAATCACGATACATAGATAAGATTTATATAGTCTAAAAGATCTATTTTATTTCAATTGTAACTCTTATTTTTAACTCTAGACTCTTATATTCCCTTATCTTTTTCTCTATTTTCATAACACATTTCTCTTTTTTGGTTTTGTTTGAACATTGAATCAAAGAGTTTAGAAAGGAAAAACTCTGAGTAGGTGAGAGTAATTTGTTGATATCTTAAAAGTCAATAACGAAAATCTCGTGAGACTACGGGAGATGTCCTAAATTGAGATTGCAATGGATTTTAAAAGTTATTCTAAATTTAGGTATTTTCAATTGAGATTTTATTGGATTTTAATTAAATTCATTAAAATTTAGGTGTTCCCAATTGAAATTTTAATGAAATCCTTTAAAATTTAGGTATCCTTAATAATTAGTGAATTTATAAAAATTTTATTAATAAAAGGATTTTAAAAGATTTGGATAGATTTCAAGCTTAAAAATATATATAAATAAATCTTTTGAAATTTCACCATATTTGATGAAATTCTTATGAAATTTGTAAGAATCCATTTAAATCCACCAAATTCATTAGAATTTATAATCATTTAAAATTCATTAAAATTTTAGTTGATAACACGTTAGTCTTTTTTGGAACTTTTTTGGCTGATTGTATGGATGATTTTGCCACAGTTGAGCCTTTCTGTCCACTTCCTGTGCATGTCAATCAATCTTTCGCATGGACACAGATTTCGACGAAGCGTGTCGTTCGTAATGGAAAGAAAGATACCACTACTTCGCCTCTTTCTTGGACTGCCGACGCGAACACAGTGGTCTCTGACCAGTCATCACCATGCATACAATAGCTACAAGCTAATGTAAGCGCTGTTGCACGAGTACTGTACAACTCTATACCTTGAATGTGGAGTTTCTAGAGAATTGATAATTTTTGTGCCTTTAACCCTTTTAACATTGATTTACTTTAGAGACAGCATAAATGAAAAAAAAAAAAAAAAACATTAAAGACCAACGCTAAAATGTTTAAAAATACTTCAAAAATCATTTTGTAATTCTATACAAACTTCAGTCACCATTCATGAAATTAACTCTATGTATTATCATCACATTTCTGAATTATTTCTTGTGTGATGCAATGTTTGAAGGGGGTTTTGCACATAAAAAGAGCGAACCGAGACAAATTTCGTTGTCGTTTTCCCCTATCACATTATTATCATTATATAGTGCCGTAAATGATTTTAAATGGACAACCTTTCGAGACACGTCTCTTTGTTTCAATTCAAGTACAACACCATTATATTGTTTTCGTCGACATCAAATACATCCTTCACACCTTAGTATACTATTATTATTATTATTTTATTTTACTTTTAATCAGAATGAAAAGACATTAACGTGGATTAAGGCATTAAGCTATTTGTAAATGCACGTCTTCCTTGATATTGTGTGAGATGTTAAAATTAAGATCACTAATTGCTTTAAGTGTTGTTAAGTCAAGAAAACTATAACTATAGCAGAACTGTTAACATATTACATACAAAGTATGAAATTATTCTAGAGATTTGAAATAGGCAAATTTTAGTTGAGTGATTCTCTCTTGTATGATTTACTAAATTTTGATAAAAGTTAATAGAATGCATGATTGAAAAGTTGATGATTTCATGAAGTGAGTAACACGAACTCTCAAGAGAAGAGTGGTCGAGAAAGGACCTATTATCGGGAATTATGAATCATTAATACTCCCTCCATCTCATTGGACCGACTTTCTTTATTTTCACGTTTCAATTATATAATCTTGTTTCTTTATTGAGAGTGCATATTATGATGACACGTGAACTGGGGGGATTCACATGATGTGGTGCTAAGTTGTCAGTTTCGAAAATTAAATTAAATATAATAATAATAAAAGTTGCAAGTGGACCAACAAATCAGAAAAAACCAGCTTCAACGATCCGCTTACCGACAGCCGTTCACGTCGTTGCCATCCAACCAAGACCCTGTTTGGTACCAATTTTTTTTAAAATATATTTTTCTCTCTCTTCTTTTCAATCACACGTTCTTTATTAAAATAATATTACACGTAAATAAAAATTTTTTACTTATTTTTCAACCACACATTTACCATCAATTTACTATTCAAAAATTCATTTTTATATAAAAATGTCTCCCAAATACCCCCTAAAAATATTTGGCTCCATTTTCCAAAAACTTATTTCCAATCATACAATCTTTGATAAAATAAATTTATACATATTTTTTTTTTATTTTTTAAATACACATTTTCGAAAAATTTATTACTCAAAATATATTTCATACCAAAATTAGGACACAAACAGGGGCAAAATTTGTTATACTTGATATTGGTTTCGATTTCAAAATCAAAAAATAAAAATAAAAATAATATATAAATAATAATAGAAAAACTTATAAAAGTTTACCTTGTTTGATTTCCATTATTTTTAAAATATATCTTTCTATTATTTCAACCTATATTTTTCAATAAAATAATATTACATGCAAGTCTAAAATTTTTCTTTATTTTTTAACTATACATTCTCTATTAAAATACTATTACAAAACACATTTTGAGCAAAAAAATGAGGCTCAAAGATGTATATATATATATATATTTTTTTTTTCCAAAAATTGATTTTAGAGCTTGTTTTAGCCCTATTTTAATATAAAAATATATTTTGAAATAGTAGATTGATAGAGCATATACGGTTAAAAAATTGAGTTTTTATAAATGAATGTGTGATTGAAAAGAAAAAAGAAAAACATATTTTGGAAATAATAAAGATCAAATAAGGGTTTAATGAAGTCCAAACAAAGGCTTAAAAAAAAAGACAAGTGCCCACGGGTATTGTGGAATTTATCCATTTTATTTATTCCATAGAATTTTTTTAGTATTTATTTTTTTTCAAATTTATTTTCAATCACGTATTATTCCAAAGAAAAAAAAGTCCATTTTTCACAAAATTTAGGGAGTGTTTGAAAGGCATTTTTACGTAAAAATGTATTTTAAAATAGTAACTTGATGTGAAGTGTGTGGTTGAAAAATAAGAATTTTTTTTTAATTTATATGTAATATTATTTTAATAAAGAATGTGTTTGAGCTAAATCACAAAACTATCCATGTATTTAACCTGAGATTTGGATATTTCTGCGTATTTTATGATTAATGCCTGAATTATTGTTTAATGTTCGACTTTATTGTGTCCTTCCATGTTGCAAAATCAATTCAATCTTCTCTTCCCCAAAATTAATATGAAATCAGAATGCAGTCCATGTGCAATTAATCATTGTCCAAATTTGATGATTTTTGTAGAACATAGTCGTGGTCCAAGTCCGACATTTACGAAATAAAATATGTGTGTGGCTTAGATCAGAGATACCTGCAAGAAATTGCTGAGTTTTTGGCTCGTGCCCAAAAAAAAAATAAAAAAATACTCCTACGTATGCACTGATGTAGAGGCACGGTCAAATTGCAGTGTATTTAAACTCGTGTTTTTATTGTTGATAAGAAAGAAATAGAGGCAGGCTCTGGAGTTGGTGTCTGGCAAGATCAAATGGATAAGCAAGAGCATGCTGTACTGGAGAGCCTGTTGAAGGAGGATTATTATGAGAACTGCCCGGGATGTAAGTTGGATCGGCAGAAGGAATTGCAGCGCGGTCTGCCCATCAAGCAAGTCCTTATTATATGGATAATTGTGCTTGCAACAGGTTCAAGCTTTGATTCTTCTAAAATGCCAATGCTGCTTTTTCTTTTCCTTTTCCTTTTTAGTGTGATTATACATGGTTTGGAGGTTAGGATTGAGATGAAAGAAATTTGATAAATTTTGGGATTGGTAGATATACTAGAGGGTTTTCAGAAGAATGTAAAATTTGATAAAATATGACAGATTTGGTCAGAAGTTCAGTTTTTATACCCTAGGAAACTATTATATCATAGAATTGATGATCTTCATTTTTAATCTCTGAAATAGAATAGAATAACATTCAAGAACAAGTAATGGGTAAATTTTCTTTGCAGTATTGATTAGTTTTGGAAACACGTTCTTTCTACACAAGCACAATTTTTTTCTTAGCTTGCAGTGACTTTTATTTTTTTTTTCAATTATATATAATGCAAGTATTTTTGAATGACACGATAGCTGAGTGTTTCAGTCAGTCGTTTTCCTGGGCCGAAGATTACTGTAACAGCACTAAGTTACATCTTTGCATTTACAATCACCAGCTTTTTATTTATTTATTTATTTATTTATTATTATTAGTTTATTAGTCATAATCTGGTGTTCTACATTTCCTGTTGTATACCTTTTTGTTAACTCCACTTCTACAAGCAACAGTGATAATTGACGCTGATTCTCTATCATGTTTTCCCTTTTTTGTCTGTACCTTTACAGCTTTGACAATATCATCTCTCTTTCCATTCCTTTATTTCATGGTAAGTGCTTAAATCTTTTGGATTTACTTTGTCATTGCTCTGATCTTTACTATGGACTTTGAGATATGTAAAACAGAATTAATAGAGGAAATTGTTCTCTTCTTTGTACGTAGGTGTTTGAGTAATCTATTCGAAGTTAACATATTACTATGTTTAAATCTAACTTTATCATCTAATGCTGTTTCTGATAATGACAAGAAGAACGAGCAGTATTTACGTTTCGTCGTTTCCAGAACAGATCCGACCTTGATTTTAAAACTCAAATGCAAAGTCCAAACCAGCTCCAGCACTTGATAAACTCATCTAATGGTCAACTTAGTTTTTGTGCTATAATTTCTCTGAATCTCTAAATAGAACAGGCCCCAAGAATATTAGAAAGTAGAGTGGCTCTTTTTTTTCAATTAAGTTGTTTCCAGATTGAAAGGGAGCTCAGAATACTTGGCTAGGTTCTAAACAAAATACTTTCTGGTTAGGTTCTAAACAAAATACTTTCTGGAAGGACTAAACAACAAAACAGAGTATCTCCATAGAAGGATATTTGGTGCACAAGTACCACCATGGGATATATGTCTTCTTGCTTTTGATTCCAATTCTTGAGATTTACCCGTTAAAGCAGTGCCAAGTTATAAACCACCCAACTTATCCTTCACTAGTAACAAGAAGTTCTCATATGTATGTTGTAGTTCAAAATTGGGGTTTTCACAATCTTGAATAGTTGTCCAGCTTTCAAGTAGTTTAATCCTAACATCATAATCAGGGAAAAGAATGAAGCAAGGACGTGTGTGGGTATTTATGCTTGGTATTTGATTGTTTTTGTAATATTGAAACTAACTTTTATTGCAGATAAGGGATTTTCATGTTGCAAAACGAGAAGAAGATATCGGTTACTATGCTGGTTATATAGGTATTCAAGTTATGTTCATTTGCTATAATGTTGATATTAATACTAATCAACTTATCATTGTACTCAAGATTAAGTTACAAATTCATGAAGGTTCTTCATACATGCTTGGAAGAGCTTTGACATCTGTTATCTGGGGAGCCATTGCTGATAAATTTGGTCGAAAACCAGTGATAATTATAGGCTGTGCCGCAGTGTTAGTGATCACTTATGCATTTTTTGCTCTTATAAATATTCTTATTCTGAATGTCACAGGACTTGTTATTGGTCACTTCTGTGCTAATCATTGGAGCATTGTCATCTTCAGGGTTATTTTCAACACTCTCTTTGGACTCAGCACAAACTTTTGGATGGCCATCTCCATGAGGTTTCTTCTTGGGAGTTTGAATGGTTTATTAGGACCAATAAAGGTATTCTGTAATCATTTTGCAAGCATCTTGAATAAAATTAATATATAGTGCAGTATCCTACAAAGTATATTTCATCAATAGTAACTCGTTTACAATTTTTATTTTCTGGAAAACTTTGGCACATTGATTTTTAGCATTTTTACCTGACCAGGCATATGCATGTGAACTAGTCCGGGAAGAGCACCAATCTTTAGGACTTTCAGCGGTGAGCATTTGTATTAAACATATTATGCTTATATCTAGTCATTTGTATTAAACATATTATGTTTATATCTTTACAAAACTTTGTTTGATAACTTTTGAGAAATTGGCTATCATGAAGGGACTTAGCCCCTGTTTGGTGAAAATTAAAATCTAGATTTTAGTTTAAGTCAAAGTCAACAATTAATTTTAATTACATATTTTATGGGACCACAACTTTTTAACCACACATTTCATTAACTTTTATCAAAATATACTTTTAATCCCTGTCAAACAGGGGCTTAATATGGTATCTTAGACTATGCACACTGAAGATATGCAGAAAAACATGTGTCTACATATTTCACTCAAATTTGGGTGGACTAGAAATATTTACTTAGATGGTTTAAAGCCCAGATTCATTGCTGACTTAAGCATCAACAAGTAGAAAAAGACATAATATCACCTTTCAGAAAAAAGAAGACATAATATCATTATGAACGCTTTAGCTTCTTCGCTGCAATGTGGAATACTTGATGCTATGCCACTATATCACTGCTGAAAAGGCAGCTTCTAGCTATCTACTCTTGCCATTTCATATCAGTATAAATGCTTTAATTTCTTCAGTCTTAGCAATATGATGATTTATCCTTACAGAGACTTTCCAAGAGGAAAATATATCAAAAACTTAAGGTAGATGTATAGTTGATGGAAATATTATGATCTATTCAGGAAAAAAAAATAATTCAAAAATAGACAATTAGCTGTCCGAAAGAGTAGTAAGTTAAGAAATAGATACAGGATCTGTCCTCATCTTAATGAACTACAATACATGTCAGTCACTTTTTTCCTTACTCCCTAGTTCTCAGCCTGGCTTTTTTATAATTAAATAATTTGTTCCTCTTGGTCATTTCACAGGTTCTGTGTCATTTACTTCCCTAGATCAAAATTTTCACTGCTGTTGTCTTTGATCCTCTATCTTAAAAAATCACATTTATCTTGCACAGTTTGCCTTAAATATATATTTGGATGAATTTTAAGATTGCATACCATTAGAATATATTATTTTTAGGGTATGTTATTAAGAAGGTTCTGAAAAGCTTATTTTCCTTTATTTCAGGTTAGTACAGCATGGGGCACAGGATTAATCATTGGTCCAGCTTTAGGAGGATTTCTTGCTCAGGTACTTATATATATTATTCCCTCATTATTTATTGTATATAAAACACAGCGAAACAATCATTTAGCTTTGTTTATGCAGAGTTTTCTCTGCCATGCTATCAATGTCAGCAGTTCATACTATACATTCTAGCTAGGGGATAGTTCAACTAACAAAACAATGGAAAGTTCTATAGAACTCCGTATAATCAAATAAAGATTACAAGTTACATTAGAAGTAATCGTAACCAATCCCTTCTTCCTTTTCCCACCTTGAGAACAAGTTATATCTTTTTCCAAAAAGCAAAAATAGAAGTTCAAATACATGGAGACTATAAATGACAAACACCACTGTAGAAACAGAAAGGATCATGGATGAATTGAAATTTCAGTCTAGTAATGAATGAATACCTTTTTATAATTTTTATCAACATTTCAGGTGCAAAATATGGATCAATGGTGTTTGTCAGTAGTACTATTGGCATAATTTTGCTAGCATTCTTTTCCCCTTGTTCTTCTTTGGATTTCTTTTCAAGGAACGTTATCTTAAAATAAGACTAACCAAGTAGCGATCTAAAGATTAGGGCTAATTGTCTTATAAATTGCGATAGACCTTTGTCACTTCGTGTAATTTCCACTTCTAAGGGATTCAAAAGGAGAAAAGAAATTTTCATTTTCATTTCATGTAACTTTTGATTTATTTCTCAGTTCTTACTTTTACTTTTTGTACTAAGCCTGCAGAGAAATTTCCTGCAATATTTTCGTCAAATTCCATATTTGGAAGGTAATGTTTCTTCTTGCATTAGCATTTTGCATAATCATCGTAAAATTCTGCTATTGTTACCTCTAACACATGAACCTTTGTGCAGATTCCCATATTTCTTGCCCTGCCTGATTATATCACTCCTTGCATTGCCTGTCGCTATTGCTTGCTTTTGGATCCCGGTATGTTTCTTCTATTTGTTCTTCTTCATGTTAGACTTCTCATTCAATTTAGCATCACAATATCAAATTTATTTCACTTATTTTCTTTGCATTCTCACCCAAATAGTTGAGTTCTTTTTCATGAGAATGTCCGATGCATAGAACATTGGATGTTTTAATATTAATAAATCAAACCAAAAATATTCCAAAATGATTTCTTGAAGTTGCATTCCATGTTCATTAGGGAAAGAAAAAGGGGACGAGTGTAACATGAGGATGCCAACATCAAACTAAAATAAAGTCATGCTTGTGGTTCTATGAAAATATATCACGTCTTCTATCTATCTTCCCCACTTACAAGTTATTACATTTGTGTTATCACTGCATTGTTCCTTGATACCTTCTTGAACTGAGTTTTTGTATGAAGATATTGATTATACTCTGTGAACTGCAGGAAAGTTTGCATACACACAACTCAGAGAAGATATCATCTCAAATTTCATACGATGTTCTAGAGTCTGCATCTCCCAGGTCTACTGATAAGGTGGACCTGAAGGAAGGAAGTGAAACAACTTCTAAATATAGCCTCTTCAAGAACTGGCCCCTGATGTCATCCATAATAGTGTACTGTGTTTTCTCCCTTCATGATATGGCTTACACTGAGGTAAAGTAAATATAACATTTGAGTGGTCTTAGTTTGCTTGTGTTGTGGCCTACGTCTAGATATTTGTTACTGATATTGACTGGTTCGTTTGTATTTCAGTAGTAGCTAATTTTTCAATGGTATTAATGATGCATAATTTCTAACATTTGGTTAACTACTTAGCACATCAATAAAAATAAGTAATAAACATCATATAAGTAATATTAGTTAAACAATCATATCATGTAGACATGAAGATAAGAAATAGTTTTCATATTAAACCTAATTGATGCTATGGGTTGTCTTATATTGAAAGTATATTTAGGTTTTCCAGGTAATAAATCATAGACTGCTTTTTGATGATTATTTTGTTCCTCGACTCTCTTGTGTTTATGGCCATCTCACATCAGTCCTATTTGCTTCAACAGATATTCTCATTATGGGCAGTGAGTCCCAGAAGGCTTGGAGGATTAAGTTATTCAACTCAGGATGTTGGTGTAGTTCTTGCAATTTCAGGTTTAAGTGCTATTACATTTTGTGTTAATTCTATTGTATTTCGTCCCTTGTTCTTTAAGAATTTGTAAAAATGTTTTAGTAGGTATAGGAAACAGAATCCAATATAACTGATGTGTGTGTGTGTATGTATGTGTGTGTGTGTGTATATATATATAACTATATATATATATATATAACACATGTAGAAGATTAGCATAATAGATGGTACCACAGGATCTGGAAGAAGATTTGATTAATATGTCTAAATGTTCCTGCTCCATGTCAATTTTTAAGTATCCAACTTAAAACTATTTACTTGCATGTAAGTAGGCACACCTATCATATTTTTGTTTGTTAAGTCATGGTTCTACATGTTGATGGCATTTTATAAAACTCCCTTTCATTTGCAATCTTAAGTTCAAAACCCTCTATTAGGTACATAAAACAAGGGGTATCCGCGTGGTAAAAATTATTGTAAGAACGAAACTTTTGCACTCCTTTAAAAACTCTAAATGATGACCGGAGTAACTTGGTGCAATATTGTGACATTTCGCTTACCTTCATCATCTTTTGCTTTGCAAGTATTATATGCACACTAGTCAGAAGATGACCAAATATTGTGACATTTCGCTTGATTTCTTAGGTATGATTTGTTACTTTTGGAGTTGAGAATGATGCACATTGTTATTATTTGGGTAATGTAAGCTGTTGAATGTAAACAGGCATTATGAAGACAATTGAGAATGGAAAATATGTATTCTCTTTGATCTGAGAATGCTGGAACTAGTCTGAAGTATACAGGTTGATGGACCTTAACTATCAGTTTGATATTAGAAAAGTGCTGCATTACGGATTTATGAAGTACATAAAATACTTAATGATGTGTTTGATAATTATTGAACCCTTCCAGTTAAGGGAACTCCTGGAATCAATATTATAAGAAATATAAATTAAATATGTTGGGGGTACGACCATATATAGATCAATAGTTTAACTTTCAAATGAATTTTAAAACAAATAAATCCTACCCTCTCCAAATGTTTAAGCTTTCATGTAATGGGATAGTTTTACGTAGTATGAGAGAGACAAAAACTTTGTGTTTCAATCTCCGTTCAATATTCATTATCTGTCTTGTTAAAAGGGGAGTGTGCATTGACGAATAAAATAAGTCGCAATGCTCTGTCGGTGGAAATGTTTCTCTTTTAGATGATGGTAGTTTTAATCACTCTCTTTAATTCATTGATGCTATGATCCACACTATTGTGCTATGAGTATTAAAATCAGGTGGAAAGGACATAAATAGCACATATAATTTTGACATTTGAAGAGCATGTGTCACTTAAATTTACGATATTTCTAGGTAATTTTACTTATTTTTGGTCAAGCTAAAATGAAACATCAAAGTATCCTAATGCTTCAGTTTCATATATTAATAACAATTAAGAGAACACCCTAGTATGCTGACGGCTTGTAAATTTTCAGGTGTTGGCCTTTTAGTCTTCCAGTCCTCTTTATATCCACTTGTGGAGAGAATTATTGGACCTATCATGGTCTCTCGAATTGCAGGAGTAAGCACTAGAATCTTGCTAGATATATTTATCAAGAATCAGCAATATGTTTATTTAAAGATGCAACTTCCAGTTTTATTGCTAATTTGACTAATGTTGTTTACATTCTTTGCTGCTTGCAGATTGTGTCAATACCATTACTGACAAGTTATCACTATATTGGCATGCTATCTGGAATTGCTCTATCAATATTATTAAATTGTGCATCACTGGTGAAGAATGTTCTATCCGTAAGTGATTTGTTGATTTCAACACTTGATCGCTCATCTAGTTTGTTTCCATTCATAAAGTCAAGAATGGCAGTCATCGTTTTAGTTTTCATGTGGAACTACATAATACATCATAAAAGAAGATGTCAGAAGTAGGTGCACCGTGCATGCTATTGCTGGAAATCCAGGATTAAAACTAAAAGAGAACGTACATTGTATGAAATATAATGGTATTAACAACTAAAACACAATTACTGTAGAATCTTGAGCCATCTTATATGTGTGATGACAACGATTTAGTGATATTGATTTTGATCTCCTTTCAATGCGAACTACTATTTCTGCATTATCTGCAGATGCAGAAGTATTCACCAATAAAATAGATTCATAGGTTTGATAGCTTGTGATATATTTGATAAATCACATAGATTCCAATTTCTCATTTATTTTACCAATGCCAAAAAATTGACATCACTTGAGGTGCATCCATCTAAAAGCAAAACAATTATCGAATACTTTTGTGACAAGGGATATCACCCCCCACTAAATCCCTAATGTTATTATTAGCCCTATATAAACACGCTACAGCCATACACTGTACAGGTTCTAGGTACTCTTTATGTGGTGAAAAGGTCATTGCTCCTGCTAATAGTGGTAGCAAATCTTCATCCTTTTTACCAAATAGAAGAAATCTTGAGAACTGTGGTAATATGAAAAATTTTGCAACACAACACATGAAAAGGCCTTATTTGAAGAAAAATCAACCTCAGCATATATACAATTTCTGAATCTGAAATCTGGAACCAGTACTTTAATGATCTCTCAAAAATGGGAAACCACAAAAATTGTAAAATAAAGTGCGGAAGATGAATAATCCTTCTAGATTATTGTTCCCTTGATGTATAAGAATCAAAACAACGTGGCCCATGGATAGCTGTTAAAAAATTCTATAACCATATTAGCTTTTTCTAAAACACTTCGCTGATCTTGGTATACTCCTACACACGTAAATTTTGATGATTGATTTGACTTATATACTCAGAACCAGGTTCTTTGTGAGCTGTAAAATCAAATTAAATCTTTGATAGAGAGTTGAAGGCAATTTTTTATGTAACTTACATCTCAATTCCTCACTTACATTGGGTGAGTGCTTCTTTATGTTCTGAACACAAGTCACAATAAGAAACAAGTTAATACGCAGCTGCTGGAATTAATTGTTATCTCCTTGAATACTCATTTTACTAGTAGAGAGCCTAATAGTTGATGATAAATTTACACAATTCCGAGATCTATAAAAAAACTATAGATGTATGTGTAAAACTAGAAGTGCATGCCAATGTTGAGTGTATTCATTGGTATACTCATCTAATTAAGTTTTATGGAAGCATAAATTTTAGATAAGAAACTCTTATTGCTATTTCAAGTCTGAACATTACCTACTCTTCATTTTCTTCAGATCTCCATTGTAACGGGTTTGTTCATATTGCAAAATAGGGCCGTGGTAAGTTTCTCTTGGATTGATCTTACAAAGCTTTTTTCCCTATCTAGCTCGACACAATTATGTACTTATTTTACATACATACGTTAATGGATTTCTCTGACATTACACATACAGGAACAGCACCAAAGAGGAGCTGCAAATGGTATTGCCATGACCTTGATGTCACTTTTTAAAGCAGCAGGTCCAGCAGGAGGAGGAGCACTGTAAGTTGCCTTTGCCACTTTGCTTCATCTATCAACATCTTTGAGTTATGGTTGATTTGAAACAAAGAATCGTATAGTCTGACCTTCTCGTGGTGATTCATTTATGGGGGTGGGCAAAAGTTAACGAAACTGTTGGACTAAACCAAAACTGGACCAGAAGTGCCGGTATGGTCAGATTCTACTCAATTTCTTATCGTTCTGGGTATTATAATCGAGAATTGGGTAGTTTGGATCCTATTCTCGATTCTAATACCAAGAACCAAAAGCCCGGATTAACATGGAATTTTTATTTTTTATTACTATTTTCTTGCGAACTTCCCTAGTATATCAGCTGATAAACTTGAGCCCGGGGTTCATTATGGTGTTATATATAAACTATCACACAAATGTACCATATATGTAATTTTGCATTTAGCATTAACGTAAATCATTTTTAATGAAGAGATGTTGGAGAACATAGATATTCCACTAGCATCGGTTGGCGAATTTGAGAACTTCAATTGAAGGAATCGAATTGGACCGAACATGATGGTTTGACCCAGTTCCATTCTTAGAGACGAAAGTAGTGGTTCCATTTTTAAGATATCCATTGGTACTTAGTTTGGTTCGATTCTCTTTGGAACCAGATCCTCTAATTTATAGTAATACAAAATTATTGTCCAAGACCCTAAGATAAAGTACACTTAATGTTATTATAATAGATGGAGAATTGTAAGAACTGTGGCATCTCCTGAGACTGGTATGCATACCAGATCAACAGACAACCTCCTACGTCCATCAATCTAGAAATTATCGTGCTAACTGCGACTGTGTTGTTTGTAGTCTACACAAGATAAGAAATTTTACATGCTAATCTATCTTTGTTTTTACAATTAATGCAGTTTTTCCTGGGCAGAGAAGCGTCAGGATGCTGGCTTCCTTCCAGGTAGTGATATTATGCCTTGATGCATGTAGATAAATTATTCATTTCTTTAGTTATTTGACTATTCTTTTTGTCAGATTTCATATCATGAATAATAATATTGTGGTTTAAGTTGTCTGAACCACAAAATGTGAAGGGTCAAAGAGTTAATCGGGTCAAGCTAGGAGTCAAAACAATTAATTAATTACAAATACAATAATAGCCGATTATCCTTGTTGAAATGATGGTTTGACCCAGTTCCATTCTTAGAGACGAAAGTAGTGGTTCCATTTTTAAGATATCCATTGGTACTTAGTTTGGTTCGATTCTCTTTGGAACCAGATCCTCTAATTTATAGTAATACAAAATTATTGTCCAAGACCCTAAGATAAAGTACACTTAATGTTATTATAATAGATGGAGAATTGTAAGAACTGTGGCATCTCCTGAGACTGGTATGCATACCAGATCAACAGACAACCTCCTACGTCCATCAATCTAGAAATTATCGTGCTAACTGCGACTGTGTTGTTTGTAGTCTACACAAGATACGAAATTTTACATGCTAATCTATCTTTGTTTTTACAATTAATGCAGTTTTTCCTGGGCAGAGAAGCGTCAGGATGCTGGCTTCCTTCCAGGTAGTGATATTATGCCTTGATGCATGTAGATAAATTATTCATTTCTTTAGTTATTTGACTATCCTTTTTGTCAGATTTCATATCATGAATAATAATATTGTGGTTTAAGTTGTCTGAACCACAAAATGTGAAGGGTCAAAGAGTTAATCGGGTCAAGCTAGGAGTCAAAACAATTAATTAATTACAAATACAATAATAGCCGATTATCCTTGTTGAATAGACCGGTTCACCAGATTTCATCCAGCTTTTCTAAGATGAGTCTTTTAGGCTATAACTCTTCTGTCAGGCTGGCGATTATCAAAACATTGTGATGCAGGATTAGTTTACACAATTAGTAGAGAGGAAACAGATCTAAAAAGAAGAGATTATAGGAAGAACGATAGAAGAATCAATAGAAGATATTGAAGAAATAGAAGAAAGTAGGAAGAGAGAAATTCGCCACAAGCCACCAAAAGTTTTATTCAATCATCAACTAAATGAAATTACATGGCAATACGGGCTTGGGTCCATATAAGCCTAATTACATAAATAAGAATCCAAAACAAAAATAAAGCCTACAAAACAGAAAAAGTCCAACTAGAAATAAAATAGATGATGTCCTCATCACATTGGCTTTAAGTTGACCTCTTCAGCATACATATTTCAATTTTCTGTGTATAAACAAGACCTACGTAGGACAAGCATGGATAATTCTATCCAGAATGGAACGTGTGAGGTCTTGGATTCGAATACCTTGAACTTGTACACTCTTTATATGGATCCAGGTTCTTTCCCTCTTTATTTCCTGTGTTCGATTCGATTCTTTGGCATTGACATCACCAATGCTGTAGGAAGGCTGGACAAGATCTTTCTCCTGAACTAGACAAACGAAACCTTTGGCTCATCTGTGATTCAGCTCCAGCTTTGGCTAGGGGTCGTTGATTGCAATTAAATAAATTTGTTTATGATTCTCATGCTCATTGTCATTGCCAACTTCCACGTGTTTGGAATCGGGAAGTCCCTGATTTTCAACTTGTGTGGGCTTTTCTGATTTTATTTTGACGTTGGGGTTAGCAATGTCCTCTTCATCTTGAATGACATATGGTCCTCCTCATTTGAACCACTGTTAAGATTTGGATTTTGAGACGGGAAATTTAAGGATCTTGATAATATAAATTGACTAATAGAATTGGTTAAGTAGAAAACATGCCTAGCCTTCTCGCCTTGAAAAAATAGAGGTAATCCTCTAATTTTAATAAACTATACCATAATCATCCCCTAAAAGGACAAGAAACTAGAAATCCTACTAATCAACAAAAGAAGAAAACTAAGAATAATAGAATCCTAATAACAAGCAAAATAAGGATATGTTTAACTAAGCTTTAAAATCTGCTTATACAACTTGCCTAACATGCTCTAAGTCGATTACAACTCTACTTTGATTGTCTACTAACAATGATCCTATTACATGAGGAATTGCATCAAAATACTCAAGCTCCACATTTTCTTGATCATCCTTCATTATATTCATGAACTTCCTGTAAACTTCATTCTCATGTCCACCCATCTGTTTACTTGGAAAATCCAAATATTCATCTCCTTCAAGATAAAACCACTCTCACCTTTTTCCCTTCCTACAAAGGTTCATCTATTCAAACATGGTTCATCCATGATCAACCAAAATTATAGTGCCTGAAATTCATCCTCAAGGAATGCTCCAAACCAAAGTTATTGCACAGTTATCCACCTACGTTAAATATGTCGTTCTGATTCCAAAACAGAGATATGACTAGCATTTTATAATTGAGCATCTGAGATTTTACTTTGAGAGGACAAGTAGAGAGTTCATTGCAGCTTACTTGAGCTACAAATGTAGATGAGCTAGGAGCCTTCGGGATTGAACATGGGAAGGCGGGTGGGTAAACAAAAAGGTAAAGAAGGTTCAATGTTGGGAAGATCCTAGGTGCTGTCAAATGTGAACACTACCAATAATTGCTCCGTACTCTTTTCTGAATTAGGTAGACAGAGTTAACAGTCCCAAGAGTGTCTCTTTAAATATTGGGAGTTCATCACTTAAGGAAGGCTCGAAGTATATATCTAGTCCAAAACTTTCTTTAGAATAATCAATTTTTTGGGTGAGACTATTGTCGTTGCTATAAAAATTGTGCATTGAATTGTGTAGTGCATCGAAAAGTTTAGTAGAACACTAGTTTGTGTGTGGAAGTATAAGCAATGGCTAGACCATCAAGTTTAATAGTGTTTGCTTATATCAACTGCATATTTAACATTGATTATTAAAGAATATGTGCATTAGTTTATATCGGAATGACGATTGAAAATATTTTTAAACTCTGGCAGCTTGGTTCTTCTACTTGCACGTCCTGCATATACTTACACAATGCTTTGTTAAACTAATTATATTGTGAATTTTCCTTATCCTGTTTGGTTGAAAGCTAATTAGAAGTGTTGATTACATGCAGGAAACCAAATTGTGTTCTTCATCTTGAATATAATTGAGGTAGTCGGAGTGTTGATGACATTCAAACCATTTTTAGTGGAACGTAGACGATGATTATTTTCCCTCAAGAGAGTGTTAATCGTTGTTCTCCATCTATCACTAGCTGTGCCACATGTATTCCATCTTCATCAGATTTAATTTTCTTAGAAACATTTGTATACTGAATTAATCAGCTGTAATTGAGAGAGAGAATTATACTCATTGATTCCTACGAGTATATGTAGTTCATGGGATTATTCAGAATAGCTATGCAACAAGTGTTTGGCCATTGAAATATTAAAATAAACATGGTAGAGGTACTACTAACGCTCGCACCACCCCGTCTTGACGGAAACCTAAATCTCGACCAGGCTTTAGTAGTGTGTCACGCCAAAAGGGCAAAAAATAAAAAAAATAATAATAATTAAATGCGTTTGAAATAATTGATCAAAGTTCCTTGCAAAATTGTCTTTGATTGGCTGCTAACGAACAATGAGTTTCTTTGGTTTTGTTGTAAATGGTTTAAAAAATAAATTGTGAAATGGGTCAAGTTCGAGTCTATTTTTTGGACTCTTTACTCCCATGTTATCGTAGGATCAAGCATATTTACGCTCTATTTAGTAAGTGATTAATGTAATATATTTATTTATCGGAAATCATTTAAAATTGAATGAGATATTTGATTTCAAAGCTACCTACTCGATACTTTAAATAAGAGAAGAATTTGATTTAATTGAAAATTGTTAAAATTCGTCCCACATAAAAAAATCTTCGAAACTTTTGTGTGGTTTATACATTAAAAGTTTGGCAAATGCGTTTGGGCCACAAGGTACCACCAGTCTTTGGAAGGGTAAACATATATGGGAAAAATTTATATTTCAGGTGTATTGTTTACATCAATTGAAAAATAAGATAAATAATTTGAAATTTCAAAATTCAGGTTTATATTTAGTTAATTAAAAATATTTATTAATTAAAGATAATAAAGTCATAGTTACATGATTAATGGTCACAAGTTCATATTTATGGGTCACAGATTTATTTACTGGTCACATATCGTCAAATTAATTAGTCACAGATTATTTCAAGGTCACAGAACAAATTTTGTAAGTCACAAGTTATTTCAGGTCACAAATCAAAAATTTTATAGTCACAGATTATCAAATTTTAAT